TCCCAGTCGCGTGGCCAGATGTGGTAACCTGCTCCCACCAGATGTGTGCCCATGTCTGCTATCATGCGATCCAATACAAGAGCAGCTTCCACCCAGAGACTAGCAGAAGTCAGGAGATCTCCATGGTTTTGGTGCCAGGTAGAAGAAGCAAGGATTGTTCCCTCCATTTTGTTGAAAAGGAATCAGGACCAGAGGTAATCCAACACACTACAACCCACACCAGAATTAAAACCTCAGATGCTGCCACTGAGTCCCATGCTTTAAACTGTCATTGTCAGCAGCAATTCCCAGGGCTGCACCAGAAACCTCTCATTAGACAGATGCCAGGCAGCACCTGCTTCAGACAAGCAGTTGTCCTGGTTTCAGCTGGGATAGAGTTAATTTTCTTCCTAGTAGCTGGTACAGTGCTGTGTTTTGGATTTAGGATGAGAATAATGTTGATAACACACCGATATTTTAGTTGTTGCTGAGCAGTGCTTACACTAGTCAAGGACTTTTCAGCTTCTCATGCCCTGCCCAGCGAGAAGCTGGGAGGGGGCACGGCCAGGACAGCTGACCCCAACTGGCCAAAGGGACATTCCACACCATGGGACGTCATGCTCAGTACATAAACTGGGGGAAAGCTGGCCGGGGGGGCCGCTGCTCCGGGACTGGCTGGGCATCGGTCAGCGGGTGGTGAGCAATTGCATTGTGCATCACTTGCTTTGTGTATTCTTTTATTATTATTGCTATTATTATTACTATTTTATTTTATTTCTATTATTAAACTGTTCTTATCTCAACCCATGAGTTTTCTCACTTTTACTCTCCCAATTCTCTCCCCCATCCCACCGGGGGATGGGGGGGGAGTGAGCGAGCGGCTGTGCGGTGCTCAGTTCCCAGCTGAGGTTAAACCACGACAGCAGTGAAACAACACCCTCCCCTTGTCTAGGCTTAGCCACACAGAAAGGAGAAACCCACAGTTTGGACAAATTAATCCCTGCTGCTGATGCTAAACAAGCATCAAAGACACAGGCACATAGACCAGCACAAGAGAAAGTTGGTTATTACAAGAACTAGCTCTTAATTAAATTTCACTGGAGACTTTGCTGCCTCCTTGCTTGGAAAGAGCAGTGAAAAAACACACGTGGCAACCCCACAGAGCCTCAGCGAGGAGCCTGGGTCTCCAGCTGCTTTTACCTGCAGGGATCAGACCTATGCTCCCCCTCCACAGTGGCCCACAGCTGGCTAAATGCTGGAGGCCAGGAGGGTCAGAGCACACGTACGAAGTTGGGCCCAGGTGGTCAGACAGGGCCTGGGCTTGGCTTAAGGCTCAGAGCAGCTCCTCGTCTCCAGGACACTGAATGTTGTAGCAGCTCAGCAAAAGCTGACTGGAGGAGATAGTGGTGCCTAGGAGGCAGATGCTATTACCTCGGACAACAGAGACAGCTTTCCAAAGGAGTGAGCAGAAAGGGGATGGAAAGACACGGAGGTCTCGTCAAGAGCTGTGGGCTATCCAAAGTCCTGTGCCTATGGGCACAGGGTTGCTGCCCAGGAGCCTGCTGACAGTGAAGGGTGCATGCCACAGCAAGACTAATTTGGTAAGAAAGGATCTTGATTCAGAGGCTCTTGGAAGGGGAATGTCTTAAAGACTTGACAGGAGAGATTGCAGGAGATGGTGGAAGAGAAGGATGGTCACAATTGTGAGGGACAGCTTGGGAGCAGAAAAGGGACTGAAGACCCTGGTGGGACAGAGGCAAGGAGTTCCCTGGCTTGGTGGAGGCTTGAGGACAAGGCAAGGAGCTGTGTTTCCCAGGGTGGCATGCAAGAAAGAGCGGTGACAGCCCCCAAGTGCTGCTGGAGAAGCAAGCGGAAAAGAAAGTGAACACATGGAAAGAGTCTTGGGGAGCCAGTGGCGGAGTGGAAGTCCCCAGCATCCAAACCACAGCTGGAAGAGACGGCAAGCTCATGCAGGGACAGCAGAGACAGTGAGGAGTTAGAGAGAAACATCCTCCGAGAGCCAGGCAGAGCGTGGGCCAGGTGTTTCACCAACCTAAGGAGCTAGGAGCTTCCCCAGGGAAGAGAGAGCTGTGCAGCCCCAAGGGTGACACATTTCATAGCCTTTGTGGAAAATTCCAGCCCTGCTTAACCTCCTGGGGCTCCCGTAAGATTGTGACACAGAGAAAGGGACCAAACAGGAAAGAATTAGAGGGAAAATGCCTCTCTCCTGGCAGCCACCATGGCTGTGCCAGGAGTTAGCAGCAGCAGCTGCGGAGCAGCCAGCCCTGCCTCCCCCTCCTCCGACGCCTCTGTAAACACACAGGGCTTACTCAGAAGATTAGAAGGGAACAGGGCAAAAGACAACAGAGTCTCTTTTGTAATGAGGAAGGATTACGGCATCAAGTGACCGGCTGCAGCTCCCAAGTGGGTTTCAGGCTCCTTAGCACACCGTGTCTGTCAGGTTCAATCCCCCCATGAGCCAAGGGGGCACGAGGAGGCGGGCCGTGGCATGGGCCACAAAGGACCCAGCAAGGACACATGCGGGACCAAACCTCCACAGCCTCCACCGCAGCTCAGGAGCCCATGACTGTAAGTATCTAGTCCTCCCAAGAGCAGATAGATTCCTTCGAAGATCTATCTTCCTGCCTGTCTGTGACCTCCTCTCTCTCCATCTGTCCACTCTGTCTGCTTGTTCTCCGTCTTTGCAATCGCTGCTCGTGTCTGTCTGCCATCTCACGTGGTGGGTAACGCACCTGACGCAGGCTTGCTGTTGCGGGATCTTGGTTGCTGTGGACTCCCACAGTCTGATTAGTATCAGTCGACCTCCAGGTGCAATGGTTAGTCCGGACGGATCAGGCAGGTGGATGCAGGCAGCGGCAGGCAGCGGCTCCCTGGGGAGCGGGCTGTGCGGGCGCCGCACAGGGGATGGCTCTTCCTCCCCATACCAACTCCGGTGAGGTGAGCCAGTGCCGGTGCTGCGGTGAGTCACCTCCCACCACGTACCTCAACCCCAAATGGTACTTTGAGTGTGCCAGCTGCCGAGTGACATCCCGGGGCAGTCCCGCACAGGCTGACAGGCGGGCAGGGAAGTGCCTTAACCATTCAGGGCTAGAGGAAAAAACGCTGGGAGAAGCCCCATATCCCATGCCGGAGCAGAACTGCATAGAGGTGGGTGACATCCATTATTTACATGGACAAGAGCTGAAGTTTTCCATGTTTGGTAAAAAGTGAATCTGTATTTGAATTACGCAACAAAGAGTCTCCCTGAGCACTTTCAAGACCCAAAGCATAGAGAAAACAGCCAGCTTTCTGTAAGCAGCCCCCAAGAAATTTATGGGTGTTTGCATACATTTCTCATCTGTATAGCCCATGTGTGTGCAGTCTGTAGGGCAGTTAAAAACCACTCTTCTAATCCTGTGCACTGGCCAGAAAAGCATATGGAAACGGCGTGAATGTACATGAGGCTCTAGTGAAACATGCATTTTGTGCAGCTGGGGAGCCCTTGGCAGGGCAGGTGCCAGCTCTGTTCCTCCAATTTAACTTGTGAGAAGGGACTCAGGGAGAATTGTGACAGGGAAACCCAAAGGAGAAACAGCACCGAAAAGCCAAAGCCAGGACAAAGATGCTATTTGGTTGAAGCAGCCAACAAAACAGACTTCGCTGTTTTTCTTCACAGCACCAGCTCACTGGGACCTGAGTTGTCCCCACCTAACTGTAGATCTTTCACTGAGATGCTTAAATGAGGAGCACGGACACAAACTTACCTGCCTTCAGCTGCTGCCACAGAGCAGTAAGGTCTGAATTGTCCCTTGAAGTGCTTCTTTGTCTCCATCATTCAGGGAAGAGCCCAAGGTCCCATAACTATTAACATTATTGCCTCTGTTAGATAGCAGTGTCTGTGTAACATCCTGGTAACGTGTTAAGATTTAGAAATACCAATAGTTTCACGTTGGATAATTATTTATAAACCAAGGGATCACTCACCTGGATTACACTGGCATGGATTACACTGGTCTGACATGATTACACGTGGTTTACACTGGTCTGTTTTTTTTTTTTACAAATTCAGGTTTATATGAATGTGAGTCTGATTATTAATTGATGATAAAGAATTATTTATCCAGGGCTAGACTAGAAGAAGTGCAATGGGGATGCTGCATGATTGGGAAGCATTTCAAGAGCCTGAATGCCTTTTTTCATCCAGCGTGATTTATTGTGCAACGTATGGTTGAAGGAGAGGGGAGGTGGAGCTGCTGGAATTTGTGCTCTGTGTGAGCCTGGCCAAACTCCATCCCTCAGTTCTCTAACAGGGAGGGCTGTTCTGCCTGCGAGACTAGGACCAGCATAGTCCAGATATGGCCCTCAGCCCAAATTTAAAGACAGCTATACTTGTTGGGCAAGTGCTACCAAAACTCTCAAATCTCCAGGGGTACCTTCATCTGGACCAGCATCAAGAAATCTCTCCTTTCTGGGGTTTTGCTTTCCTTTGGGGTTTGTGGTTTTTTTTGCCATCAGTATTCCAGGAAGACACTTCCCAACAAGCAGATTTACAGAAACAACATACTTGAAGCAAATACTATACGAAAAAAAAAATACAGTAAGCAACTTCGGAGTTTGTGACCCTGAGAATTACTCTCACACAACTGTTTTGTGGGAGGGAGTGGCACGTGGGCTCTGTCCACTCCGACCAACCAGCCCCACTTGAACGCTGACAATCAAACACTAGAAACCGAGGGCTCCACCAGAAAGTATATCCTCTATCATTGTAACCAGCTCACGTGCAGCTCAAAGACGGCAAGCTCATCAAATTAATTGCCTACCATAAATTTCCTCCTGGTTCTCTATGTCACTGACTTAATCTCACCCGTCTTTTGATCTCAACTCATTGTTTCTTTCTCTCTTTCTCTCTTTCTTCCTTCCATCTTGCTTGCTTGCTTGCTTGCTGGGACACTTGCGGTGTCCGTGTCTCCTCCCTCTGTGCAAGCTTGCTGGCAGCTTTAACATCTGCTCATTTTGTGTCCCCACTAGGATCTGTGATGACAGTGACATACACCAACCGTGTGGCTGATGCCCGCCTAGGCACCTTCTCACAGCTCCTGCTCCAATGGAAAGGAAGTATCTACAAACTTCTCTACTCCGAGTTCCTTATTTTCATCTTTCTCTACTTCACCATCAGTCTTGTTTACAGGTAAGCATCCTTACACCCCGACACTAACACAGCCCCTCACTCTCAGCCTGTCCTGGAACAGGACAACTGAGCAACACAGGATTGGGACAGTGATCCTGGTGAAGAGGAGCCGGCGAGGCACTCACCAGCCTCTGTTCACAGGAGGAAAGGAAAGGTCCTTCCTCACTGCTCCAATATGGCTTAGCAGCTGACAAACCTCCTTTTTCTGTCCTGGGAGGTGACACAGTTTCTCTTCCCTGGGATGAAGAGTTGCATTTGATGATTACCCACAGAAGAATAATGTGTAGATCAGTGGAGACCAAGACTGACCTAGCACTGGAGATGTCCCACAGTAGGGAGCTTTAGGAGAGAGTTTCCCTTGTTACACAACAGGCAATACCCTGGGTACATTTTGGAGAGCAGACATTGGCTCTGGGACCACAGATCTGTGATAAGGCAACTGTACTCTGTGGCTGGTCTGGTTTCGGTGAGGAAAGACAGGGAGCTCCCCTACCTGGTGCGATCACAGATGCAGCAGAGAGGCAGGGAAGCAGCTCTAAGAAAGAGGCAGGAACTCACGTAAGAGCAGAGCTCGGACTGACGTTTTGCAGGATATTAAGTGAACTGTGGTGCACATCCAGGCTCTGTGTCAAACCCTCGATACCACATAGCACTCTCCCGAGTGAGAAAAGTAGGGGTGGTCCCTGACATCAGACTGCATCACTTACCACACACTCTCTGTCAGTGGCCACTTCTGGCTCCTTTGGACTGGTCAGCAGGGTATTTTGGGGAGGTGGGTTGGTGTCCTAGGCTCGCGAGGGCTGTTCACTCACATCATCCCCAGACTCGCAGCGTGGCAGTGTCGTGACTACCCATCCTTGGCTTCCCTTGCCAGGCTCCTATCCCAGCAGGCCCCACAAGGCACAGACTCTTCTTTGAGGCTGATGCTTCTGTTTCTCCCTTGTAGGCTGATCCTGAGTGAGAGCCAAAGGCTGATGTTTGAGAAGCTGGCGCTCTACTGCAACAGCTATGCTGAGCTAATCCCCGTGTCCTTTGTGCTGGGTAAGGAGCTCTGTCTGGGAACACACAGGGAGGGGAAAGGGACAGCATTTCTTCTCCCTGGTTTGATATAGCTCTGCAGGCAGGCAAGATTCGCCGAGCAGATCCCTCCCTCTGTCTTTGTAAAACTCCTGAAGCAGAATACATCATTCCATGTTGCAGCTGTGAGGTACGCCCCCAGCACACAGCTTGCACTGTCCAGATGTACTAGCATGTTCTGGGTTCTGCCAGGAGGGCAGGGACCAAATAGCACCAAATAAACCGTGAAACCCAGACTCTAACTTTAGCATGGAGATCTGAATTGCCCTCCAGGCATGCCAGCACCCATCCCCGTATGAGCAGTACCAGACTTCCTACACATGAGCATTTACACCTCCCACTCCTTTAGGATGGCTAATTTGCTCAGCTCACCTCACCTCACCTCACCTCTAGGTTTCTACGTGGCTCTGGTGGTGTCCCGCTGGTGGGCTCAGTACGAGAGCATCCCATGGCCTGACCGGATCATGAACTTGGTCTCCTGCAACGTGGATGGGGAGGACGAGTATGGGCGGCTCCTGCGTCGCACCCTCATGCGCTACAGCAACCTGTGCAGCGTGCTGATCTTGCGTTCGGTCAGCACTGCTGTCTACAAGCGCTTCCCCAGCATGGAGCATGTCGTGAGGGCAGGTCAGTACTGGTACTGCCTTCTGTACAACTCCGGCACCAGGCAGACAGCTGCACCTTGCTGCTGTGTTTGGGGCAAAGAGCCTTGGAAAGGGCCACATGACCTCCAGGCTGGAGATGGGATAGTGCTGCAGTGTGCTCAGCTGATGTCTGCAGCGGGTGCTAAGGATCTGCTCATGCCCTAGCTCTGCTCTTCTTAAATAATCAACTGCTTATGTCTTCCTATTGCACAGCATGCTTGTTCCTGCTAGTGGCTGGAAGGCTTGCTTGAAAGATGAAGGGTCTCTGCCCAAATTTTTTAAGTAAGGAGAGTGTCGAGATCCGGTTTGTGAATGCAGGTCTGTGCTGGTTTTGGCTGGGATAGAGTTAATTTTCTTCCCAGTAGCTAGTACGGGGCTGTGTTTGGGATTTGTGCTGGAAACAGTGTTGATAACACAGGGATGTTTTCGCTACTGCTGAGCAGCGCTGACACAGGGTCAAGGCCTTTTCTGCCTCTCAGCCCACCCCACCAGCGAGCAGGCTGGGGGGGCACAAGAAGCTGGGAGGGGACATGGCCGGGACAGCTGA